AATATTAGACATTTTTTCTTTAAAAGTTTGTGAATATAGATATGTTTCTTTACTAGTTTGTTGTATAAAAATTAAATTGTTTAACATTTAAATAAAATAAAAAAAAATTTAACGTTTAAATAAAAAATCAACTAATTCTATTTTTTTAGAAGATTCTTCTAAAATATTAGCTATTCTTTTTTTATCTTTTCTGTACATAAATAATTGGTTCACATTCGAATAATCATTTAAATATTTAATCTTGTGATCTGAAAATTTTTTACGCCAATAAATATTATCACCAATAATAATTTCTTTTTTCTCGATTTCTATATTAATTTTTTTAGATTTTTCTATAATTTCTTTAATAGAATTTTCTCTATTATGATATTTAATATCCCATACCATATTTCTAAATTTATCCTCATCTTCTTTTTTAAATATGATTTGTGTAGTTCTTTTTTCTTGATCATCATTCTATTTTTCATCAAATCTGATTATATAATCTAATCTTTATTCGAATTGGTTATAATCTTTCTTATTATTATCTTTTCCTCTATATTGACCAAAATTATAAGCTTCTTCAGATGGCTTTGTTGCTGTTAAACAAATATATTTGGCTAAAAAAGATTCAAAACTACCATATTTATGTTTAACTTCAAAATATGAATTATTTAATAAATTTATCATTTCATTTTAATCGATTTTTATATAAAATTCATCAATTAAAACTATTTCTTGTCCATTATACTCATTCCAATAAGAACTATTTGTTCGTTGTTTCTTTGGTTTATCATAAAGTTTATCACGAAATAATTCTAAAAACTATCCAGTTTTTTCTGCACTACCAGGTTTATAACAATAAAATATAAATAGATACCAGAATCTTTTCTTTTTTGTTTTTTTAGAAATTTTTGTTTATCATTAATAACTTTTTTTGCATTGGTTGGTGTTGTAAACCAAGTAGCTAGTATTTTATTTTTATCAGATATTACTTGTTTATATATAAGTTCTTAATCTTGAATTTCAATCATACATTTTATATTATCTAATTGTAATTCATTTATATCTTTTGATGCATCATTATTATCAGAACTTTCTAAGAATCGATAAGTTCTAAATTCAAATAGACCAATTATATCAGATGATAAATATCCATCACCCTATCTTGCATATGAATGAATACATGATTTATTACAATATTCACATATTTTTGATAAATCAAAATAATCATATTGACATTTAGAATGTACTTTATAGTATTATAAGTTTTCATAGCGTAATTTTTATTCTGTTTAGAATTATCTGCAAGAAATTTTACAAGTGATACAAAATTATTATTTAGAATAGTTTTTATAGATTTTATAGTTTGATATTTATTAAACTGTATATACATTTGAGTATGAAGTTTACCAGAACCAGTAACTTCAAATTGACTACAAATGTATGATATATTTTTATTAATTTCATTAAATGCTGTTTGTTTTGTAGATAAAGAACATATACAGTCTTTTTCATTTGTTATACAATAATTACATTTTATTTGATTACATTTATTTAATTCACAACAATTTGTGTATTTTTTTTCTTTACAATGCCAATGTTGTGTTAGACAAAAAGAACATTTTGGAACTCTAGTCATCTAATATTCAAGCTTTCATTCTTCTTTATCTTTTAGTGATAATGTTTTATTATATTTAAATTTGTTTTTACAAGGAATACAATGAAAACTAGTTGCACAATTATGACGAAATTGTAATCTCATTTTTTTTGATTTTTTTTAAAAAAAAAAATCTATTATATAAATAATTTTACTTTAATCAATATAAATAAATTAATATAAATAATACATAAAAAATAAAAAAAACTATATGAAAAGAAAAACAAAAACTAAAATCGCATGTTTAGCTTGTCATATTAAAAAAAGAAGATATGAAAATTCTATTAATTGTTCAAGATATGAAAAAAATGAAATTAAATGTATATATATACAATATAATATTTCACTTAAAAAATTAAAAGAAAATTATATATTTTATTTAAAAAATATATATATACTTGAAAAGAATATTGAAACTCTTTCTAAAAGAAATCGAAATTAAAAAAAATATGTGGTTTTATTAATAAAAATAAACTATAAAGGCCATAATATATATTACGTAATATCATTTTATCAGAGGGTACCCTCCTCTCCCATGTCATATACTGTATAATCATATATAAAATATCTATATGTAATATTATTTTCAGCTACCCCTTAGGATATTACGTAATATCTGTCACTACTCTAACATAATTAAATTTTACTTTAAAAAAATTTTTTTATACTATTCTAAATTTTTTTATTTATTATATTTACTTTAAAAATTTTTATTTATATTGTATTATAAATATATATATAATTAATAAAAGATATATTATAATTTTA